GCAGATGTTTCACTTCGAGGTCAGTTGAACCAAACTCATTAAACGACCTGTCCGTTTCGTGGGAAATGAGTTCATATGAAAGTGAAGTTTTTTTAATTACACTTTCATTCGTGTCAACTAGAATAGTGCTGAGTTGAAAATTTATTTTTATAGCTTTATGTAATGTTCTGATTTCCCAAGACATAATTTGGGGGGATTTTCATTAGCTGTAAACCATTATTATCAAAATGAAAAGAAATAACTGTTTGAAATATGTCGTTCTGTGTAATAAATCTATATAATAGATGAGTTTTCTTATTTGAGTCAAATCAGTTACTGAAATAAGTTAACTTTTCAATGAAATTCTAAAATACTGAGACATCTCTGTATGTTGTCTGTATGTAGTTGCAGTGTGGGCGTTGTGTTATGAGTCAGTTGGTTTTATATTTTATGACTAAATATTCCAAATCTTCAGCTCTGTATACTGTTCATTAAATCATAAAATCATTAATCTTGCTGTTGTGGCACCAGTAAGCAGAAAAAATATTGGTTTTGCTACTCTCTCAAAATTTCCTGAATTTTTTTTTGGTTTTCTTCTTGGTTGAGGAACAAACAACAAGTTCCAGGGGCGCAATAGGTCAGCACACATTACTTATAAGACAGTATTCATCTTAGTGATGCTGGGGTTGTGAGTTCGAGCCTCACCTGGGGCATTTTTAAGTATTCAAGCTCAAAAATGTCCAGGTCCTCTGGATGGATTATTAAAATGCTTGACTTCTCATTCAATAGGTTTTATCAGTTCTAAATAGAGAAGAGACTGTGGAATAAACTGCATGTCTCTCACAACAAAAAGTTGTTAGACTCTTTGCCTGGCTCACAAAAGAAACATTTGGTCACATGAGTGAAAGTGTGAATTAGAGTTAAGTTTACTGGGTGTTAGGCTAGTTATCAGAAAGTTGGTTGAGCATTTTGAGCAGAAAATAAGTCAGATTTTTTAAATGTGTTTAAATGTTCTTGATTTTATATGTACAGCACTTTGTGGCAGCTGTTGTTGTTTTAAAGGGCTTTATAAATAAAGTATTATTATTATTATTATTAAATATATATTTGTTGAGATGGAAGGGAAGACAAGTTCCAGTAGTGCAAGTGGTCAGTGTGTGGTACTTATAAGGCAGAATTCAGATTAGTGAGGCCAAGATTGTGAGTTTGAGTTTACCTGGAGCAATTATGAGTCCAATAAAGATTCAAAAGACATGACACTTTGCTAAATTAGTGGTACAGTTAAGTGTTGGCACATTCAATGGTTTAATTTACTCAGCATAACAATGACACTTCTTTTTGTTCAGTTTTTATCAAAATCATTCTCTTAAATTTTCAATGTGCTTTGCTTTAAAAGTTGAGGTAGTAGGACAAAAATATGTCTGAAAGAGTCAATACATAGTTCCCCGACAGTGTCAATACAGCTTCACACTTTTTTGGTGCACACTATTTTTTGTGGCTTAATGTTTAGTGCTTGATTCAGAAGTGCCAAAGTTTGTTGAACCCAGAGACAAATGCAGTGCTTTTTGGCAAATATTTTCCACAGACAATGACTGTGTTGCATCCAATGACTTGACTTGTACCCGTAGGCTTTAGGCTCTTTGGCAGTATAAGCTCTTTTCTTGTTTATAAGTTTTTTCAAAATATCTGTGTAAGTCACTACAAGTAGTGATTTCTAGTGAATTATTTTTTTTTTATCTCAAGCTCATAAGATCAATTCTCGTTCATCAACAAATAATCAATAATAATTGTGCTGTTATTCATAATGTAGACAGTAGCCAAGAGACATACTGTATCATAAAATGGCAGAAAGTGCACTGGTGTGGATCATGAGAACTACGTATTACCTACTAAATCTGTCTGCAGGTTTGCAATAGTTTGCAGATGTTAGATAATTGTCCAAGGAGATGTCAACCTCTAAATACAGATAACTAAAACATCTGACAAGTTTTTGGCTTTTATAACTTCTTGCCCCTCAAGACTGTCAAGATTTCGTCTGGTTAGATCTCTTCTGATGGAAGGATCAAAACTAAAATCATCCTCCTTCTGTACAACTAAAGCTGGACCAATTTCAAATATGTGTCCAATAAAGCAACGTCTGTATAATTACCATTGTTTGATATCATCTATACTACATTATTTTATCCCCTTCTTACTTTCCGGGTCGCTGGTGCCCATGTCCAGCAGTCACTGTGCGGGGGAGGTGGGGTACTCCCTGGACAGGTTGCAAGTCCATCACAGGGACACATAGACAAACACATATTTACACCCTCACCTATAGACAAGAGCAGAGTTCCTACTCTAAATTTAATACTTAGCCCAACATGCATGTCTTTGGCTGCTGGAGAAAACCCACACATGCACAGAGAGAACATACAAACACTACTCAGAAACATCTGCAGCTGGGTTTCAATCCTGCAACCTTTAAACTGAGAGACGACAGAGATATCAACTGCACCACTATTTATTGTTTTATCACAATAATTTCAGTCCTACGTTGAAATTGGCTGCGTCCATCCTCAGCTGAAAGGTGTGCAGCTAATTGTGGTCCATCAAACCACTGGTCAGGTTTTCAACCAGCCATAGCCTTCCTGCTTAGCCTGAGCTTGGATCAACCAGTAGGAGAAGTAAGTCATAGTTTGGGAATGAACTCTGAGCATTCTGTGATTATAAATACATTAGGGCTGGGTCTATTTAGAGAAGATTGGTTTGATTCGTTTTTTTATTACAATTTTATCAAAAGCAAGCTCCAGTGGCGCAACCAGTCAGCGCACAGTACTTATAAGGCAGTATTCAGCTTAGTGATGCTGGGGTTGTGAGTTCGAGCCTCACCTGGGGCATTTTTAAGTCTTCAATCTCAAAAATGTCCATTCACTGTCATCAACAAGTACTCAGCAATAATTGTGCTGTTGAATGTAATGTTAGTAGATAAGTAGCACGCCATAGAAAATGGTGGCATTAGAGCTAGTGTGGGTTATAAGAACCACAGCTTAGTTTGTAAACCAACAGATGCCAGAATTTAAATAGTAAATGGTCCAGCAGGGGTTGGTGGAGGGGGTCTGTGCATCCTTCCCACAGAAAATCTGGAATAAAAGAGATTATGTTTCAAGCATTTTGGAGTAGTAACCGGTTGTTGAACATCTATAAACATTTTACTAAATTGATTAAAAACAGGTCTGTCTTGTAAATGAGTCCTCGAGGCTCAATGAGACTAACTTGTATAAATAAAGGTTAAATTGAAATTACTATTTTAGAGAACAACAAGCCGAGCAGCTCCGATTCTGTCAACCGTCTTCAGGTGCTTCAATTCACGGTGGTCCAGCTAAGGACAATCCATCCATTTATTTTAGATAATAAATTGGATTATCTTTTCAACATTTTGATCGCTGTTATTTTGACAAATTAGTGCCATTGTTTTGAAACGTTATGTAATGTGAATAATGCACATCAAACATTTCTCTCGTATTTTTAATAAATAATCAAAATTAAAATGCGCAATAATTTTAGGGGCAGATATTTGAGTTGCCGGATCCGAGCAGTTGCCGGAATGCAGCCTGTCAAAATGAAAGCGTTCCCGGACCTTGTTCCAGCAGGATCCGGTTCAAATTAACCACTGATAAGAACTATACCTTACCTACTATTTCTAGGCACATGTTTGCAATTTCATGTAGACTCTCCATGAAATGGTAAGTTAATGTTAAAAATAACAAAATAACTGGATTTTTATTCTGTAGTTAATGGCTCTAACAAGATTGAGTCAGGTCCTCTGGATGGATTATTCAAGTTAGTTAAGAATGCTTGACTTCTCATTCAATAGGTTTTATCAGTTCTATATAGAGAGTGTGGAATAAACTACATGCCTCTCACAATGAAAAGTTGTTAGACTCGTTGCCTGGCTCACAAGAGAAACATTTTGGTCACATGCACGAAGGTGTGAATTAGAGTTAAAATAACTGGGTGTTAGGCTAGGTACCAGAAAATTGGAAGATTTATGGTTGAGCATTTTGAGCAGAAAATAAGTCCGATTTTTTTATATATATCTGTATTTATTGAGGTGAAAGGGAAGACAAGTTCCAGTAGTGCAAGTAATCAGTGTGTGGTACTTATAAGGCAGAATTCAGCTTAATGAAGCTGAGGTTGTGAGTTCAAGTCACACCTGGAGCAATTTGGAGTCTTCAATAAAGATCAAACATAAAGTAGCACGGCTTCAATAAAGTTAAAATTATGCCCTAACTGTGTTTGTTTTACTACAGACACACATTTTGGTTGGATAATTACACTAAGAAGATATATTTGTCTAAAACTAACAAATTACAGATTAAAAACAGTCAAATGTGTAAGTGAGAATTAGCACAAAAGTACTACCTAGAATATTTTTGTAAAATGGCTAAATTTCTTTTTATATGTGCAGTTTGATGTACTTGACTGGTTTCTGGAACCTTTTGCTGGAAGCCATGTTCATTTCATTTTTGGGGTCTGGGTTTCTAAAAGCAAAAAGGCTCCTTAAGCCACTAAAACATTCCAGTGAATGACAACAAAAATGGTTAAATCATTACATCTGAACCAAACTGGTCCAGATGACATGATTTAACCATTTTTGTTGTCATCTACATGGATGATTGAGCTTACAAACCTTACTCCAATGAATAATTTTGTTTTGGTTGTTTTTGTTTTTTTCTTTTTATTCCATATAGATAAACCTGACAACATCAACTGTTTTAGTATGCATATTTCTTTGGAGATAGAAATAATTACTTAAAAGAAACTTTTTTTTTTTTTTGTCTCCAGTCTGTTTCTGCAACAGCATGTCGTAAAACAACTAGTTGGATCCTATACCCTCTCTGTCCAGTGTCAGTCATTGCTCAACAAATCTCATTGCTTTTGCCAATAAAAAATGCTTGTTGTCACATATCTGTTAACACGTGATTTTTCTTTAAAATTATTTGCTGTCCAGCTGACAGATTTAGAAGAAGGCAGCAAGCATGGATGAGACAGGAAGCAGAAACAGCAGCCTGCAGAGAAAAAAACCTCCTTGGCTCAAACTGGACATCCCAACCATCCAGCTGACACCAGACGACATGCCACCACTCAGCCAGGTAGGATGCAACGCTAAAGTTCAAGCCTGAATGGTAAAACATATTGTTATGATGAGGGTTTTTTTTTAAAGTAGAACTCTGACTGACATTTTCTTTGTGTATGTGTGTTGTAGCCAGTGAAGCGTGAGCGCAGTGTCAGCATGCCAGGGGAAAATCCACAGACCCACGCTGATGCCTTGGAAACGTCCAACAGCCACCTCAAACCTCCATCAGAGAGATTGCCTTTCATGCAGTCTGTCAAGAGGTTAGACACACATTCCAACTAACTAACTAAGATGTAATCATAAATCCATCTCTGCATTTCTTGATGCCTATTTTCTCCAGCTACTAATTTCCCTTCAATTCTGCATGCATACTTACTTTTATATCTCTTGTTTCCTTACTTTTATTTAACTCTGTCTTTTTTTTATACCTTTTTCCTCTCCTGTCGACCTCTTATCTTGAACTTGGACGCAATGAGAACAGAGTGCACTTTGATCATGTCAACACAGTTCCGCCAAAAGGCCAGAGGGGCCCAAGGAGGGAGTCAACCTGCCGTAGGAGGTCCTGCATCCCCCAAATACTGGCCAGGCGGCGTTCTTCTATACCCAAACAGATCATCAGGTACAAGAGAGGAGGAAAAAAAACAATGATCTGGTCAGAACCTGGGTTATGTTATTTTGATGAATTATCCATCCATCCATCCATCCATCCATTTTCTTCCTCTTATTCCGAAGTCGGGTCGCAGGGGCAGCAGCTTGAGCAGGGAGGCCCAGATATCGCTTTCCACAGCCACCTGTTCTAGCTTTTCTGGGAGGATTCCAATGTGTTCCCAGGCCAACCAAGAGACAGTCTCTCCAGCGTGTCCTGGGTCTTCCCCGAGGTCTCCTCCCAGTCGGACATGCCTGAAGCACCTCCCTAGGGAAGCGCCCAGGGGGCATCTTTACCAGACGCCCTAACCACCTCAACTGGCTCCTCTCAACACGGAGGAGTAGTGGTTCTACTCTGAGTCTCTCCCGGATGACTGAACTTCTCACCCTATCTCTAAGGGAGAGTCCAGCTACCCTGCCGAGGAAACTCATTTCAACTGCCTGTATACGCAATCTCATTCTTTCAGTCAATATCCAGAGCTCGTGACCATAGGTGAAGGTAGGAATGTAGACCGACCGGTAAACAGAGAGCTTTGCCTTACAGCTCAGCTCTCTCTTCATCACAACGGACTGGTACAGAGTCCGCAATACTGCAGATGCTGCACCGATCCATCTGTCAGAATCAGAATCAGAATAAACTTTATATCTTTATATCAATCTCATGATCCATTCTTCCCTCACTTGTGAACAAAACCCCAAGATACTTGAACTCCTCCACTTGAGGCAGAACCTCACCCTCGACCTGAAGAGAGCAATCCACCCTTTTCCGATTGAGAACCATGGCCTCAGATATGGAGGTGCTGATTTTCATCCCAGCCGCTTCACACTTGTGTGCATACCACTCCAGTGAGAGCTGAAGATCACGGCACAATGACACAATCAGGACCACATTATCTGCAAAAATCAGAGATGGAATCCTGAGGCCACCAAACCGGAAACCCTCCGCCCACTGGCTGAACCGAGAAATTCTGTCCATAAAAGTTATGAACAAAATCAATGACAACAGGCAGCCCTGGCGGAGTCCAACTAACTCCCACTCTGAAGGGGTTCGACTTACTACCAGCAATGTGAACCAAACTCTTGCACCGCTTGTATAGGGACTGAAAAGCCCGTAACAACGGGCCCCCAATCCCATACTTATGGAGCACCCCCCACAGTGTACTCCAAGGAACATGGTTGAATGCCTTCTCTAAGTCCACAAAACACATGTAGACTGGATGGGCAAACTCCCATGACCCCTAGAGGACCCTAGTGAGGGTAAAGCGCTGATCCAGTGTTCCATGGCCAGGACGGAACCCACATTGTTCCTCCTGAATCTGAGGTTTGACCAACAATCAGACTCACTTCTTCAGTACCCCTGAATAGACCTTACCAGTGAGGCTAAGAAGAGTGATGCCCCTATAATTGGAGCACACTCTCCGGTCCCCCTTTTTGAAGAGGGCAACCACCACCCCAGTCTGCCATTCCAATGGCACCGCCCCTGATGTCCACACGAAGTTGCAAAAGCATGTCAACCAAGACAGCCCCACAACATCCCGAGACTTAAGGAAATCAGGGCAAATATTATCCACTCCTGGAGCCCTGCCATCTCAGAGCTTTTTAACTATCGCAGCGACCTCAGCCACAGTTATGGATAGACCAACCCCAAAGTCCCCCGACTCAGCTTCCTCCATGGAAGATGTGCTGGTGGGATTGAGAAGGTCCAAGAAGTATTATTTCCACCTCCCGACGACATCACCGATTGAGGTCAACAACACCCTACCTTCACTGAACACACTGTTAGTAAGTGCTGCTTTCCCCTCCTCAGCCACCTGATAGTTTGTCAGAATCGCCTCGGAGCCGACCGAGAGTCTCTATCCAAGGTCTCATCAAACTCCTCCCACATCTGAGCTTTTGCCTCAGCAACAGCCAAGGCTGCGGACTACTTGGCCTCTGGTACTCTTCAGCTGCCTCCAGAGTCCCACTGACCAACAAGGCCTGATAGGACTCCTTCAGCGTGACAGCCTCCCTAACCCAGGGTATCCACCACCAAGTTCGTGGATGGCCACCACGAGAAGCACCAACAACCTTGCAGCCACAGCTCAAAGCAGCTACCTCAACAAGCGAGGTGCGGAACATGGCCCACTCTGACTCAGTGTCTCCCACCTCAGCTGGGATGCGGTTAAAGCTCTCCCAGAGGTGTGAGTTGAAGATCTCTCTGACTGGTTCTTCTGTCAGGCATTCCCAGCAAATCCTCACTACATGTTTGGGTCTACCAAGTCTGTCCAACATCTTCCCCCGCCATCTGATCCAACTCACTACCAGGTGGTGATCAGTTTACAGCTCAGCTCCTCTCTTCATCCGAGTGTCACAAACGGCCGCAAATCAGATGACACAACTACAAAGTCAATCATCGATCTACAACCTAGGGTGTCCTGGTGCCAAGTGCACTTATGGTCACACTTATGTTCGACCATAGTGTTCATAATGGACAAACTATGACTAGCACAGTCCAACAACAGAACACAACTCGGGTACAGATTAGAGAGGCCGTTCTTCCCAATCACACCCCTCCAGGTTACTGTCATTACCCACGTGTGCAATGAAGTCCCCCAGCAGAATAAAGGAGTCCCCAGCTGGCACACCTTCCAGCACCCCTGTCAAGGACTCCAAGAAGGCTGGATACTCTGAACTGCTGTTCGGTGTGAAGGCACAAACAACAGTCAGAGCCCGTCCCCCACCCGAAGGCGAAGGGAAGCCACCCTCTCATCTACCAGGGAAAACTCCAACACACAGGAACCAAGTTAGGGGGCTACAAGTAGACCCACACCAGCTCGACGCCTCTCACTATGGGCAACTCCAGAGTGGAATAAGGTCCAGACCCTCTCAAGAAGATCAGTTCCAGAGCCCATGCTGTGTGTCGAGGTGAGCCCATCTATATCTAGTCGGTACCTCTCAACCTCGCACACAAGCTCAGTCTCTTTCCCCGCTAGAGAGGTTACATTCCATGTCCCAAGAGCCAGCTTTGGTAAGCCAGGGTCAGAGTGCCAAGGTCTCCACCTTCAACCACTGCGCATGGCATCATGCACCCGACTTTTATGGCCCTTCCTGCATGTGGTGGGTCCACAGGAAGGTTAACCCATGCTGCTCCTTCGGGCTGAGCCTGACCGGGCCCCATGGGTAGAGACCCGGACACTAGGCACTCGCCAATGAGCCCCTGCCCCAGGTCTGGCTCCAGGGTGGGGCCCCGGTAACCCACGTCCGGGCAAGGGACACTGAGTTCCTTGTTTTGTCCTGTCCATAAAAATCTTCTGAATCGCTCTTTGTCTGACCTGTCACCTAGGACCAATCTGCCTTTGGAGACCATACCAGGGGCTATTATAATTGCCCCTGACAGCATAGCTCCTATGATCATTCATGCGCACAAACTCCTTCACCACGATAAGGTGGCAATTCAAGGAGGAGCCTTGAATCGCTACTGTGCTATGTTAAATTGAAATAATTTAAATCAGAACCTGGGTTATGTTATTTTGATGAATTATTGTGATTTAATTTTAGCTTCTTTTAACTCAGAAAAGTGTGAAAAGATTTTAATGCTGCGTAAGTAAGAAAACTGGTTGCCTATATTGTGTTAATGGAATAGACTTAATACAGTTTACCAAAAAATCTGAGGCTGTTTGCTCCTGTCTTAGTTCTTCTATTTAGCTTCTCAGCTGCAGTGTGCAAGACTAGCTAACATTAGTTTGAAAGCAGTGTCATTGTTTTTTGTCCTTAGCATTTTTGTTGTGATTTAGCAACAAAATGGCAGTTTTTGGAAAACATAATGGTATAAGATTAAAAAATAAAACTGCAATGCAGAAACACACCCCACAACTGTGACACCATTAGGAAGTAGGGTGGAGTGGGGGATTAAAATAACATTAAAGGCGTGATTTAAATGTCACAAATTAACACTATGGGTAGATGAGCTTTGAGAACAGTTTAATGTTGGTTCCTTTGGCCAAAAATTCTGAGCTGTGTCTCTTCTGAAACTAGTTAGTGATTCTAAATTGAAATAAAAAGTGCACATTTTCCAATGGTGAATGTTGGTGTCAAGCAAGCTGGGAGGCCACATTTTGTGTGCCTAGTTTAAAAAAAATTACAGCCCATTTTTGTGTACATAACTTGTTAAATTGTTTGGTAGTTCACATTTTTTGGCATCGTATCCACCTTGGCTTGTTTTGTATATAATCTTCTGGGGTACACTTTTGAAATTAAGACAATCAAACCTGAAGCAGTTTTTCAATTGTTCATTACCGTTTGCTTGGTTTTTAGACTTGGACATTTGCCTCAGATATTTCCTGTCAGAGGAGCACTCCACTGTAGGTGTCAAAATACGGCTCTTAGCATTCCTTGGGTTAGAGATGCTCACGACACGATTCAGATGGGTTCAAGATGAGTTGGAGACACCTGCAACAACTCAGAAAAGTTGTTGTACATTTCCTTTCAACATGTTTAAAACTGAAGTGACTGAACCTTGTGTGTTGCCTGTTTTTCTGTCTGTACAGCACTTTGGTTGGCCTTGTCGCTGTTTTAAGTGCTCTATAAATGAAATAGTATGGTATGGTATGGTATGGTATGGTATGGACCTTTACCACTTGTTAGGAAATTGAGAACCCAGCAAAAGTTGCAAGACATTCTGGGAACTCTGTCATAAATGTTGTTTGCTAGCTATTCACTAAGAGATCACTTTTAGAGCAGCTCCAGTACTTCAAACTTTCATACTGAGGACTGTCAGCATGACTTGTGAGTCGGTGAAAGATAATTTATGTACCACAAAATAATTGGCACTGAGAGTTAATTTGCATGACTTATGGACGTTTGCTTAACTGCATTCCCCTCAAGAGAGTTCATGAAGCCAGGATGAATCGTTACTGTTCGAGCAAAGTGTGTCCCAGGGGGTTTGGGAGGACACCTTGTTGATCTGCAGAAAGATGAAAACACTTCATGAGTCAT